ACAATTCACGTACCATTATTCTGTAAGGAACATTGAGATTAATACAGTACAAGTATTATTATTTTTTTCATGTAATTATGATTAAGTGTTCACATCTAAATTTAGCCTGTATTATTACGTTATTTCTTTTGCCATGAAAAGAAAAGTTTGTGCTTCATTAATTTAACCCATCCATTTGTTATTTAATCTAGAATGGGAAAGTTATATGTAGGCTATTTTTGACTTCTTCTTAAAAACTGTCAGCTGTTTAGGTTTCATAGTCGCTGCAACTGTGCCCTTAGGATATGACCCGTATCTATGCCAGAAAATTTTATTTTTAAGGTCTGTAATTTTTATTCCTAAATATGATCATTTTGATTTCTACAGGCAGTCATTTTATTTTACTATTTTAAACATGCAATCATTTTGATTCCCACATGCACACAATCAAAACATTAGCCAATCTTTTTTATTCCACTTTTTTGCCACTGCACAGCACCCTCTGTTGATGAATTGAACAAACCTGCATAATTTGTGCAAAAGCACCCCGTTACCTAATTTTTGTTTTTAGGTCTTGCATATACCTCATATATATGTATATGCATACCCCCACCCCACCCCCACCCCGAATAATGTTAATGCATGGACATCCATGATGTGAAACATAAATGTCTTTATATAAAGCACTTTTACCAAACTCTGTACTTATATGTGGTGTATCATCTAGTGTTGACACCAATTTGTATGGGGATGGTGGTGTTCTTTTATATAGAAAGGTATAAGGGTACCATGTGTACTGGGTGTAGTGGGGTTCTATTTTATTTCTGTTTAGACTTGGGTTTGTTATTTTTTCAGTTCAGTTCCGATGGCGGTTCACACCTTACCTATTTTACAGGTAAAACCCCCTGGTTTATCTGTCTTGCATTTAAACTTGAAAATTAATGCATATTACAAATACAAGTTGATTTAAACTGGTCAACCCTTTGTCATTGTAATTTTTGCATATTAATAAAAAAAAATACTATAACGTTGGCGGTTTCCCCACGGTTTCATGTGGTATTAAAAATATAAATTTTGAGGAATATTTTTGTTTTGTCACATAGTTTGCCACTATATTGGAATTATGTGGGAAATGAGCATAATTTCAGTATTTATTTATTTTTTCATAAAAATGTAGCAGGCACTTGATTTCAAATGTTTCACATGAGTTCCCTGCATACTGTCTTGAATGTCTATCACTTGATGGGGTCTTCAACTGATTCATGTTCATACAGTATGCTTTATATATCCCCTGTAACGTTGTTAACAACTTTAAATTTTGAATGCTCTTATAAATATACCCTACATCGAATTGATGCCTTCAATTCACTCTGCATACAGGTCTTCTTTCTTATACTGTCGGACAGATTGCTTTAGACTGGCAAAGTCGGGACTTCTTTTTTGTTTTACAAAAAGAAATAATAATTCTTCTTTTAGTCCTTTTAGCATGATCGCAAAAACTAACCTGACAGCTAAAGAAATCCCGACTGGACGCATCAACGGGCATTTGACTGCTATTAATTATTCATGATGTCATTGATTATTCATGAGTGGGTGTGTGCATATTCTTAATTCACTCCAAATTTTGTATAGAAACACTGGATCTTTACAAATTTCTCTTCTCTTTTATTTTTCAGTATTTTGTAGAAACCAGCTACACATGCATTTTCTACAGGCATATTTATTGAGAAGAGTGCCAGAAGTATCAAACTATGCTGTTTCAGGGCAGAGGGAGACTTTCAGAACCATACCACTGATTGAATATTGTGTCAGTACCTCAATGAAAATTATATGGAGATATCAAACTATTACTATTTTAATAACAACACAGCAGCACTCCCAAGGGGCACATTTCTTATGTGAAAGACAACTAAGTTATTTTAGCTTTGCTTTTCACAGAACACATCAACACTATTTCAAGTTTACCATGGCAATATTCTGTGAGAGTTTTTTTTCCATTAAACTGTAACTTTTTAAAGCTGGTTATTTGCATATGTATGTATTTGTGATTCAGGTATGGGTATATCCAAAGTATGTTGTTTAGACTAATTTGTAAATACATCCCAGAGACTGCAATATTTGGATATTGCTTCAGGGAATAAAGGACAACACACAGCCCATTAGTGTGTGTTACAAATCACAACTATCAGAAATAAAGGTTTTTATAATGTCATAGCTTTTTTTATCACATGATAAACCTCTATTCACTGAATCACGCAAGTATATTTAATTCAGATAGTGGTGATAATGAATTCCCCACAGTGTCATATTGGATTCAGACAAAAAATATACGTTTCCTGTCGAGTTATCTGTATTGGGCATATTTGGTCGTACATTAAACTATAAATTCCATTTTTGTTTTCTGATTTTGTAAACATAATATTTCTGTGAAAAAAAGGAAAAATGTGTGAATAAAATATTAGCAAACAAAACAATTTTTTAAACTCCCACATTCAAAATTTGGTAATCTCTTTATATGGTATAGATTCAGATTTGTGGGAACCATTGCCATTTGACACAATCTCTTGTGGGGGCTATACTGCAAATACCGTTGTGGGATTAGCAAAAGTGTGCAGATTTTTTAACAATTTTTTTAGCAATGACCAACAAAGCAGAATATTTCTATTTTTGAAGAAAGAAACCAATTAAATAACTTCTTACTTATAGTGCCAAACTTATGTCATGCAAATGTTCGCGAAACTTTTTCTTTGGAATTGTGGGTTTATCTCTCATTTGCAGTAACATGCATGGTCATTTGATATAATGTTTGTAAAGTTTCCATGTACAAAATAAACAAAAACCAGACCTGTACTCTTTTGGTATGAGCTATTATAGGTCTAAGTTTATTAAACTACTGTTGATTAGGCAATTTAAATGACATCACTATTTATGAATAATTCATGATCGTTCTTTTGTAGCTTTATAGTTTCAAGTTGTGTTGTATTTTGTATGTCTTATTTTTTAAGAACTTACTGTGTTAGAGTTGTGTCAATAAAATATTATTATTAGTAAAACCCAAGTCGTATTATTGTCTCAGCTTTGTAGTTCTTGTGCATGTGCATATCAACCGTTTACAGACCATATTATCCACCAGGTTTTTAAAACCAAAAAAACGCCCAAACAATATTGCTTTCTTTTTTACTACTCTCAGTACAAAGCACCACAACCATTTACTTGTTTCAAAGCATATACAAGGCAAAATGTGATACATAAACAAAAACTATCAAAAAACAAGCTGCTCTCTGATTGGTCTGATTGTTTTTGTTGGGTAGCCAATCAGGCACAATCTTGTATTTAAAGTAGCTATTGATATGCAGACAATAGAGCGATCCACTCGTTATTACAATGACTGCATCCAACTAGGATAAATTAAAAAACTGCACTAAATTGCTTCAAAAGTTTCCACTTGATCTAACAATTTGTGGGAATTAAAATGAAAACAAAAGTGATTTAAAACTTCCCCTTAGCTGGACCTCTTTCAGATACATTTATTTTGGGATATCTTAAAATCTCTAATTTTGATGAATATTTTTTGTAAAAAGTGATATTTTTGATGACTTCTTGAAAATTATTAACCCGATTGCTTCATTATTTTATATGTAGACGTTTTATATGTGATGACCATGTCAAATCAGCGAGTAGTTACCCGGACACTTAAGAGCTGAAAACCCAAATAAATCAGTCTGTACTATTAATATTTCCTCAAAAATCAACCATTCAACGATTCATGTAAAATATAAAAATAAAAATGTTATTGATGTTTATTGATACATCAATAAACATGCTTTCCAATCACAAATATATTTTGTTCAAAACCGTACAATTCATGAGAATTCTGATAGAGGGAGTGCATTATGATTGCCTGAAAGTCAGCTGATTGGGCCATTACCCTGGTTACAGCACCATATTGGCCATGTAACCAATAGTGTTTTGTGCAAGCCTCTGATTACAATATAGAATATAATGAAATAATGTTTTCATTTCCAGGACCAGAACACTCCATTACATATCGCTGTCTTAAGTGGACACACATCTACAGTGGAGAAGTTACTACATACAGGTGCTAATGTGAATGCTGTCAATAAAGTGAGTGTGTTATCAATGCAGGTGTAGTATATCAGTGTGTATACATGTGCTATACCAACTCACCCTCATGCACATTCTAGATTTCTTGGAAAAAGGAGTTTATTTTTAAGACTTCATATTGGGAAGAGAACCATTCAATAATGATTCTTGGAAGTAAATTTAATGATTTTTTCCAGGGAATTTAGGAAAAAACTAGATTAGATTACAAACTATATTGTAGTTTATAGTTATATGCAGAAATGTCCTAGTACATAGAATAGATGTCAGTCGATACATGTTTTGTATTCGTTGTATGAAGATATGATTAATTAGCAGCTGGGCAGTGAGACGTTGGGTTTTTAAGCTATGCTAACTACTTGACACATATTTCATTTAAATGCCTTTGTCTCAAATACATAAAATACTAACAGTATATGGTTAATACAAGTATAGCAGCCAGGGTTCAAAGTCAGATATTTATGTTTCACACAGCCATGGTTAATGAGCGACTTAGCAAATTGCAATTCAAGTTATTAGATAATAGTTATGGCGTTGTATTGTCTATTTGTAGCACCACCACATCTGAAGGCATTCATTTGTACCTTCTTTATACTTCTGTCAGAAAGAGGCCTCCGAAAATAACCTATGCAATTTTTAATTCTCTCCCGTCCTCACTACATTACACATGAATTTCTTTCTTTAACTACAAAATGTGTATTAAATGTCAGTAAAAATTTGCCACTACCAAAATATTAGCACCAGTGAACCCAAAGTACAGGTACAAAACTTTTTGAAGGTCATAGTCATGCTTGTTAATTTCAGTTTTTGGTTAAAATGTATTAGCATTATTTGTAAACACAGACACTACTATTTCATGAAACAATGTCGCTTCCCATGTATTTTTTTTATGAATTCACTTTATTAAAAAAAAATAATAAAATTCAAAATTAACTTTGAAAAGCAATTTAAAGCAACATTTCTGCACTGATTGATCAATAATGTATTCTGCAAATACTCCATATATTATATAAATTATACCTGCCCTCCATATTATTTGATTCGCATTTAGGATGTAATGACTAACCGCTCACCCCTATGTAACCCTGTGCTCTAAATCAGACAAGTATGATACTTTCATTTTAGAGTAGAGATGAGAGGTGGCCATATGCCTAATTAATATATTATTATATGCAAAACCTTAAATAGTGCCCTTGCAATGGAGGTAACAGTTTATGAAGTAGGTATAGTCACATTTACCAGTAATTGTTGTTCTTGGAGACCACATTTACATTACGTTTACTTTTTTATTACTTCTCCACAATCTCAACTTTTAACAGTATATATATATATATACAGATTTGCAGGATTACCAAACATTTTTCTGATCTAGTCTTCATACACTGTGCTCTCAAGATTATAGTCTAATAATAAATTATCATTAGTCTCAAGATATGTGAGTAATAATCCTCTGCTTCTGAGCCATCTTAAAAAAAGATTATTGACTGTAGAGGGCGCTATGCCAGAAGCATCAAAAGCAAAATAAAGTTCGTGTATGTAGTTACTGTATAACACTTTATTTCAGCTGAAAATAATTTTTAGGTGTTTTGAAAATAGTTTATTTTTTAAGAGTTGAATGGAAAATATAGGTAAATAGGTATCATTCCTGGAATGATATTTTTTATTTATTATTTTCACTGTTCCTCATCCCTTCAGTGAAAATAGCAAAAATGAAGTATTTTACATCTAAGGTCTATTGGACAAGTTTCACTTCAAGAATAAGCATGGCGAACACATGTTCACACTGGAGATTCCTGGCTAAACTATTTTCTGCTACTGGCTATTCAAAAAAATCAACTTAGGGGGAGTGAGCTGAATACTGAACAAAAAGCTATTTGTATTTGGACAAATTTTCAGTTCAAAATACCCGCCAGTATAAAATTCAACATCACAAGAAAACACCAATTTTTTCCTCTAATTTGTATGTCCTTTTTGTCATGGACCCAATGGTTTGGTAAAATATCAAGGATTTGTATTGCTTTTATTGTTTGGTATTTTTTTTTTATCATTTTCAACCTCAGAAGGATACAAAGAAAGTGGCGCTCCTGCCACAGTATTTTTATCACCTGACACCGCTAGTCATTTTCCTGACTGCTAAAGATATTTATCTTTTTATTTTGTTCTTTTTTAATATACAATGAGCATGTTAATCATGACAATTTCAGAGCAAAAGTTTAAATTTCTGTGAACATGGCAGTATTGGCATGACAGAAACAAATTAGATTTTACTGCCGCCACCATCGTTGGCACCTGTTGGACATTTTATTGTTGCATTTTCACAGCACTCTACAATTTGTGTGAGTAGTCTGTATTTACAAGGACTGTGGATGCTATGTAAAATTTACTATCATACGATTGCTCTGACTATAATTTTAATGTTTTGTAATGAGGTGTTATGACATGAAATCACTCATGATAATCTTTTGTGTCAAATCTGGAACTACTTGTATTGCTTTGTATTCAGGTGGTTGCCCTATGTAACTCGTTGGACTTGGGTGGTGTCATTTAGCGCAATGCATTTTGGGAAAGTTCTTTTAAGATAACAGCATATTTAATTTTGTCTGAAATGATGCCCTCCTCCCTCACTCACAAATAATTATTTGGAGTATATGACATCACAAATGAAAGCTTTACATAGGATGCAGTAGTGAATATAAATTATATACTAAATTACTGAAGCTGAAATTCACAAAAATTACTAAAATCGGGTCGGATAAATAAACCCTTATCCTGTCAGGCCATGTACTTTTCCATTGAGTTGACCAGATAAAGGTTAAAGCACCCAATGTATAAGAATCTAACACCACTAGATATCAGAGAGTTGTGAGTGGTATACTTGCTGCTGAGGTGCCATTCAAGCCCATAAAACATATCACTCGCAACTTAGAATAAAGAATAAACCAATTTATTGGGGCAAATAATTCATGTGTGTATACTCTCGATCCATTCGTATCAAAGAGCCTGACTTGTACCTTTCAGTTGTTCTCAACTTACATTGGCATCCTTGAACTGGAATAGTTCACATTCAAATTTAAAACTCAACTGAAACTGTGGTTATTTCACCGGACATTACAACACTTGCATACATTTTATTATAATATTTGATATCTCCATATTTTATTGGCTTGAACAATTAGAAAGGTACATGCAAGCTCACACGCAAGTCTAATTTGCGCGTACATTTCCTTAATTCCAGCTCTATTATATTGGCACGCGTAACTGCGTAACGGTTTGTGCGCAGGTTATGATTAGAATGTCACGCGCAAGTCTGGTTTGCGCGTACACGCAAGTGGCATATTGACAAAAATGTGCTATTACCCTGTTGAGGCACCCTTGCATACCTCACTGAGGGTGACCTGAACTGGTACTTGTGGATTGTGGATTATTTGGTGCATTATTTCAGAAATTTACCAACCGATTTCCCCAATTGTATCATTATGCCCATAATGTGTTTTTGTTCAACTGGTGGCCATATTTTCCCCCAAAATTATCTTCAAGTTGTCCTGGCCGATTTTTTTCAAACATAGAAAATGTGTATCTATTGTTAGCATACTGAGGCAAATTCATTATTTTTCTGATTTTTAGAAAACTAAAAACTTTGCAAGTACCGTATTAATTTACAAGTTATTAAGATTTTATACAGAGGCAGTGTATTATTGTAGGAAGATGCAAGTGTTCAAGTGATTGTGTTCAATGATGACTGCATCAGTTATCGGAGAAAAGTATCAGAAATGTCATAGAAAATGGCAAACATTTGCATTTTGCACAGTTTTCTGTCATGAAATAATTTATTCATATCAGTTGTTCTTTTTTTTGTCATTTTTAAAATTGACTTTTAGTTATTAATAGTTTCCTGTATGCTAAATTGTTTTCATTAGGTCTAAAAATAGGTTTAGGTTGTCGCCATCATGTGTATCAGTTTGAGATCTGTGTCTCGCAAATTTTTTCTCCAATTTGCCATACTGGTGAAGTGCGCCATATACGGTAGAATAGGGAAATGTTTGTTTCCTGTTTTACAGGATGATTTGTGGATTAAATCACTACAACATTATAAAAGCAGTGCATGTACGAGTGGATAAGCAAAAAATGTCCAAATAAAATATGTCAAAACTTGTACATTATACTGGACAAAGTTGCTGAAAATGATAACTTGCTGTTAAAATTTGTTAGGAAACCAGACTTGTATTGAACAAAATTGTTGACAATTGAATGTGGATATGCATGCTCATGCAGTGCTGTTTAGTAGTATAATAAAGTCATGTTTATCATAGTATGAACAAAAGTTGATGATCATGGGTTGAGATTGCCAACCATGACCAACAGAAGTATGCAGGTTTAAAGATAATTGCAAAAATTGGTCAGGCAACGTCATTCAATAAAAATGGTTTTCAGGCAATTAGTTGCCCATCACCACAGTTAGTTGTCAGTGTGTCCATTATTGTCACCTCTTGTCTCTTGTGTTGCTTCGTGCATTGCTTCAGGAATTATTATGTATGCTATTAGTATACAAAATGCATGCAAACTAACAGTTTTCATGTTCTGGCTAAGTAAGATAAGAACACAGGAAAAAGTCGCTATCTGTATGTGTCCTTGACTATGGTCATTAATATGGTTTCCACCCATGTGGACAGGGAGACATTAGATTATTCTAATGTATTTTGAAACACATTGTTTACTGGGACAAGTATCATGGATGTATCAAGATATCATCAGCTCACATGTTTATATACACAAAAACTATGGTTATGCAGAGTTCTAATGTGTTTAGGTTTATAAGTGTGGCATATGGCATTACGTTTGGTCAATATCAATCATGTTTCTACATCTACCAAAGCATGTAAGATTATACAGTCATTACCTAGCAGGTCAGCATAATGTGCAATACATTTGCATAAACTGCAATTTATGTGATATATGAATTATGATTTGAGCCGTGATTGGCTAGGTTTCTTTATTCTGTTTAACATTGTTTATGTATGCTATGATAATTGTATCTCATGTCAGTCGGGACATTGTGCAGTCAAACAGTTTACACTGTGTTTACAACATTAAACATGGTATTATTATATTTGTTTCAGGACAACAAGACTCCACTTCAATATGCAGTAGAATTTTATTGTTCTGAATCAGTTGTAGCATTGGTGTCAGCAGGGGCCAAAGTAGATGTAGTTAATGAGGTAATTGGAAATATACTTTTAAATTCATGCTTTCATACAACTGCACATTGTGTATTAAAATGAGTCATGTCAGGCCTATTTGTATGGTCTGAAAATTTACTCTACACCATTTATGTAATTTAACACAGTTACTGTATTATATTTGTTTCAGTACACATATAAGACTCCACTTCACTATGCAGCAGGAAAAGATGATAATAAATCAATTGAGGCATTGTTGTCTAAAGGAGCAAAAGTAGAAGTAGTTGATAAGGTAAATTCACTACGTTCAATTACCCACCATAGACTCCGGTCAGTCAAAATGACTATTTTTAACTGTAGGCATTAATTCTGCCAATGACGGAGAGATAGAATCTAGATCAGGGGAAGCCCCATGACCCCAAGATTCTTTTTCCTTACATCACGAACCACGTGGCCGAGCCCATATGGCGGCCCCATTAGGGCTGGATACTTACTCTGCTTTTTCTTCGCATCGAGTGGCGATCAAGTCTAGCGTCTCTGCCTGGATCGCCTGCTTTTTTCCTGTCCGGGTTTCTAATATGTTAAACCTAGGGATGTCCACTTTGGTGAAAA